TGGATCTGGGATTGTATTTGATATTTAATCAGTGAGAGTGTTTTTATTTCTTCAAATCGTTTTTGATGTTCTGTCGTCCATTCAATAATATTTGGTTTTCTAAGATTATTATAAAATGGTCTTAAACATAATTGCATTTTGTAGACGTATTTACTTTAAAAGTTTAGCATTCCAAGAATTTTATGATTACCTCCATGCGAGATTTTAATGGATTGATTGTATTTCCTTCAATCATATGTCCAAGGAATTTTATACGAGTAAAAAAGAAATGTGATTTGGCTGGGACTGTTTTCATGTTTTACTTAAGTAGTATTTGGTGGTTTTTTTCCAATACTTTAAACATTTCGTGTTTTTGTTTGTGATGGCATGAAAACATCGTCCACATAGGTTGTAACATTTTTACTGGGAATAAGTGGTCGAAAAGTTTTACTCATGAATGCTGAAAATGCTGCTGGTCCTATGGAAATTCCATAGAAAAGTCTATTAAGTTTGTATTGTTTATTTCCAATAGCGAATTGTGTTAAGCGTTATGATTGTCCACCTAGTGGCATTTGACTATATGCGCTGTTCATGCAGCTGTTCTAAAGTATTGTCCATTTATTTTTGCGAGATTTACTAGAATTGGTTCTATGGGCCAATTACATCTAGATTCGTCAATAAGAAAATTGAGGTATCTGCATCTAGAACGATTTTAAAATGATCTCTTTTAGCGAGGATAAAAACGGGATTTATGAATGTGTTTCCTTTTGGTTGCTCTTCTTTATTAACTGGAGAAATTATTTCGTATTTTTCAAAGATATCTAGTAATCTATTGACTTTATCTTATAAGCGAATTCGAACTTTTTTTTGCTCGTTCTTTTTTGAAAATTGCGTCAGGTTTTAGAGGTAGACTTTTCAAACATCAAATTTAGATGTAGAGTGAGCCATTGGGTGTTTTAGTAATAGTTCTGCTAATTGTTCATTTTCTTGTTTCGTAATTTGAGAGTGTTGAAAATTAAACATTGTAAGAAATTTCTGTTGTTCAGTGGTATTTTTTTGATATTTGAATTGTTGGTTTTAAGTAAGGTATTTTTTGTTAAGTAGTCTGTTTTTCGTTTTGAACCACTAATTATTTTATTTATTGATAACTCTTCATTGAGAACTGTTGATTTCAAGATGTTATTTACTCTTTATGCTGTTTCTTTTGTGGGAAAAACTGTTGCATTGGTTTCAAAATATCCTAAAAGTCCTAGGGGTAACGTTATTTTATATGGGAAACTGCAAAGAAATTATGTGTGATTTTGATTGATGAGATTGTTACTCGAAAAATTTTTTGAATTGGTTTGATTTCAAGGTCGGACTTATATAGTCGTTGTTTGTTTTGTGCTATGTTGTATTGATGGAATTGACTTATTAAGAAGTTATATACAAATCTTGCTAATGGTTTCAAGCGTTCTTGATTGTATATAGGGTAAAATTTGGAGAAAAATGGAGGTTTTTTATTTAATCTTTGAAAGAATGTGAGTGATTTGTTTTTAATCTTGTGTATTTATCTTTTTTATGTAATTTGCTATTAAGCGAAATCATAATGGGGATATATTTTGTAACAAAGGGTACTCCATCGATTGTGTTTTATATCTATGATATGAAATGTTTGTTTGAAAGGTTTATTTAAAGTTTTTTTTTGTTCCATTGTGCGAGTGGGAACGAGGAGTAATTGAATTGTTCTAAAGTTTGTTAAACTTGATCCATGTGCTAATCTGCTTGATGTCTTTGAAGGTAACAATTTTGGATGTAAAAATTGTATTTAATTTCATGAGGAATATTTATAATATATGATTCTACTCCTGAGTATATTAAGAAATCATTTTCGAGGTCTGGTGATTAAAATTCTTTGCTTTTTGGACATTCCAAGAGAAGTGGGATTGTCGAAATTTTTTCTTCAGATGGTGATTTTTTATTTATATTGTTCGTACTTGAACTTCCTTTAGGTTCTTGTTCGGTGTAGTCTGTTTTGTTTTGTGTATCTGATTTTTTAAAATTATAAAAATTTCATTGTTTTGATAATAATTCGATTTAATTGGTGTTTCGTATTCATTTTCAATCTGCATGTTTATTGAAGGCGGATTTTCTGATTCGCTCTAATCATCTGTGGATTCACAATTTTTGTGATTTAATTGGTTTTCTGAATTTTCTGGGTTATCAATACCGGGAGGGTCTGATTGAGTTTCTTTAGTTGATTGTACCTAGTTGATTTGTCTTTGATGTTTAGGTGTACTACTTCTATAGTTTTGTTTTGAATTTTGATGTTGTGTATGACTCCTATGTGGTGACTGATTTTTTTGTCGATTTATTTAATTAGAGTTTAGGCTCCTGGAAGTGTCACGTGATCTATTGTGATAATTTTTATAGTTTGATATGTTGTTTGAATAGTTTCGTGATCTATTATCTGAGTATTGTCTATTCCTATTGTTTGAGTAGTTCCTGCTTCAGTTATATGAGGAATTTCTGGAACTGTCGTTTGAATAATATCTACTTCGAGAGTTTGAATAAGAACCTACTTTCTATTATAATTTGAGTAGTTACTTCTGTTTGAGTTTGATCTTGAATATTTACTTCGATATTGATTGTTTTGACTGTTTGATCGACTATATCTTTTTTGTGAGAAGTTTCGAAAATTTCTTCTATCTGGAGATCTTCCGCGATAGTTCGATAAGGTGGTTGTTGTCTAGAGGTATTATAGTTATCTGGGAGTGGTTTAGAACTGGTTCCACTATTAGTTTTGTAACAATTTTTTGGAAAACTTTTTTGATTGTCTCCAAAGATCTCGAATAATCTATAAATTTAAGATTAAGTTTAAAAGAACTTGAAGATAATTCCAAGATTTTAAAAAACTGAATTTCGCTGGATGAGATGCAGATTGCTTGCCTATCTGCGATAAATTTTCAAGAAGAATCAAGATATTGGAAAGATTTCCACGATGGCTGGAATTGGGTATTAAGGAATGGGACCAATTAAAATCTGCTTAACTCGCAATTTTCCAAGTAAAAATTTGTCCCTCTACAATTTTTTGGGTGAAAATTGTCTACCGCTGTAAGAAAAACTTTGTTTGAATTAGGTGAATTTTCTAACATTGAACTAATGATCATCCACCCCTCAACTGCTTTCACTTTAAAGGTACGAATAATGAATTGATCTAACACCTGGATTAATAAATCCAAATATGTTATGATCAATGTATTTTGGATATGACCATTGATTCGGATATATATTTGTGATAATTTGCAAAAACAAAGAAAGGGTTAGGTGTGACATCAATGATTTCCAAAATCAAAGCTGCATTGTGAAGCTTCAAAAGTTAAAAATGGAAAAATGCTCCATTCTTAGTGTTTGATAAATCCTTGGTTGGAATTAAATTGATATGCATTTTTCAAACCATCTTAGAAAAAAAAACGTTTTTTGACGCAGGTTAGGCGGAAACAAAAACCTTAAAATCTGAAGATTACAGTCCGTTAAAAATATAAAATGATTTTCTAGCTCTTCTTACTAGAATTGATCTTTGCGGTTGTTTATTTTGCGTAGTAAACACACGCTCGAATATATAATCAGTTCTCATTTTGTGGTTAGATAGATTTTTAGATTTCAAGACAGTCAAATAAATTTTTCGAGCTCTTTTTCTACAAATGTGGAGGCTTGTGCCACTATTACAGCAACATCTTTTTTGTATAATAGCCAGGGTTGCATGATTAAAATCAACTTGATTGAAATCAATGATTTAAATCGGATTTTAGTCGTAGAATAAAAATAAAAAAAATCAACCCTTTTGTTATCCTGTCGAGTGCCGCGGTAAACATACAACCCAGTTTGCAGTATTTACATTGGTTAGGTAATTCGCTCTTCATAGCATACTTTTAACTGGAAAAAATTTTCAGCACTTCGGGATTTATCCATTCCAGTCTCAGAAATTGACTGGGAATAGAAAAATATGGGTAACTTGTGTATTTCTTTCGGATGCTGAATCAGTAATTTTGCGTAAATTAATTGATTCTTGAAACAAAAACGTTTCCAATAAAAATCGAAAAAATCAAGGTGAAATAATAAAAACCGGATTTAAATCAATCGAGAATAAACATCAGATTTTTATGCAACCCTGATAATAACTTCCAGGGCTGCTGAAAGAATTTTTTGACTGATATTTTCACTGGATTATCAAAACCGCTGCATTTTTGATGAAAACATATTTCTTGCATTCGTGATTGGAGCTGCATTGCAAAGGTTCCAATCTTCTTATTTGTAGTTTTGGGCAAAGCGGCTAGATTTACATTTTGATCAAGACTTTTAGATCACGTCAAGTCAGAATTAGATAACAATCTATTATCTCAATTCAGTTCACTGAGATTAATTTGTGAGACTTATGTTTCAACCGTCTGCACAACTACAGAAAAAGAAAAGTTATAACCGGCACTAACCTTCATATAGAGTCGTACCCTCTGTTGGTAAGCTCGCAGCAAGTCGCTTGATTGCGGCAGTCACTATTAATTCGGCCAATACAGCATATTTTAAGTGAACATTAGAAATTGGATATTTGCCCCATTTGTTGAAAAATGAAGGAGGCTTGCCCTACTAAAGCTGTTTTTCGGATAATTGCAACACTTTGTTTTTAGGACGTTTGACGTAACGGATGTTTGCGCGGTACCTTTGATAGATCGAGTTTTCGGCCATTAGTGATCTGTTTTTTGTATGTTAGGAATGTGTCGAAAACTGTTGATGTCCAACAGGACATTTGAATATTAATCAGATAAGCAGTACGATTTTTAATGTTTGACATATCAGGTGTATGCACGGTACCAGCTTCTTGTAATGGATATTTGACATATCCGATGTTTGACGTACAAGAAAAAGGATCTGTATGTTAAATGGTGTTTTTTTAGTGAATTTTGGTGTAATTTCTGCCTGAAAACACTTAATTATTATATTATGTATGTTTGACATATCGGGTATTTGTACTAGATCCGTTGTAGGTGGTTCGGGGACGGTCAGTTGAATGTGAGTGAGAATTGTCTGGACAGACACGACAGAGACTCGGTCGCTCTCATCTGGGAGAAGGACGAGCCACGACAACACCAACACGTCACATACGGGTGGGTGCGTTTAGTTTTAGTTCAGCAGCGGAGATAAAGTTAAAAAATACGCAAAACACGCTATTCTTGTTTGTACCATTATTAAATGGTTTTTAAGTGAGCTGTTGGATCTGACATGTCAAGTAGCACACACCCTGTTGCAACTAGGAGTGTCGAAGGGAGACCGGGTGGTGATTTACCTGCCCACTTGTCCCATCGCAATCGCCACCATGCTCGCTTGTGCCCGAATAGGTTAGGCACTTCTCTATGGCATCATACTTTATGACTTCCATCTTTGGCCAACCAACCCCAAAGTTTTTCTAAAGACGCTTTGGCGAGATTAAACAAAATTCGAGTGAGCGTGCGGCATAAAATGCGATTTTTTGGCTCAAAAAGCGCCGAAACTTAAAGCGTCCCAATTTTTTTCGAAGTTCACCTGCGACGTAGGAACATGAATTAAACAAATAGGTTTATTCAGTATTTGTGAGAGCTCTGAAAATCAATTTGAACGAACTAAACTTTTTCCGTAATATTTTCAAATCTTTCGGCGCCAATGTGCAAACATTTTGGAAAATGAGTTGATTTTGGCGAAAACGCTCCAAAATTATGCTCAGAAAAAATGTTCAAGGTGCACAATTTTTCCACATAATAAGATTTATGAGGCTTAGTAGAGATCGAAAAATCAAGGGCGCATTTACAAATAAAGGTAAACGAGCATGTTGGAAAGAACTAGAAATTTAAAAGTAGAATATTGTATGTAGGTGCGATACATTGTGTCGTGTTCGCCGGATTCAGTGCCTCCGCACTTGCACAACGAATCAACGATGCCGGCGCGAAACTAGTCGTGACGGCCGACAGGTCCCCGAGAGGCGGCAAAATGATAGAGCTGAAGAAAATAGTCGACGAGGCGGTTAAGATGTCAGGATGTGTAGAGAAAGTGTTAGTTTGGCAGCGGCTTGGGAAAAAGGACTTGAAAGGGATTGATGTTGATTTGGAAAAGGAGGTGGGCAATCAATCCAAAGAGATGGAGGCTCCCTCGATGAACGCGGAAGACCCTCTCTTTATGCTGTATACATCAGGCAGCACAGGCAAACCAAAAGGTATCTTGCTTTTTTGGACCAAAGTGCAGTCTCCCTGTCATTAATGGCTTTCTTTCTTTTGTTCATTTTGGATTACATTTGGATTTGCTGCGTGTTAGATACTCGGTGTCCTACAATTTAATGACATACAATTTAACACCGTACATTTTAAGGGGGCAACCATGGTATAACACAAAAGGGGGAACCATGGTATGATATGGGACGTATTAATTTATAATCAAAGAGCTGAATGTGTGGTTTTTTGGTGGTGTCGATTTCAAAGTTTACCGATATCGCGGTTTCTCAAATCAAATTCAATTGTATCGAAAGCAATTATTTAAAAAAATGAAAGAGCAAATAATGGTTTGAATTTTTCTATGAAATGGGTAAGTTGAGAGATATTTTTTATAAGTAGTTGTGTTTTTCGGTTTCCTTTAGCTCGTTAATACTTTTCAAACAGTCTGTTGTTTATATTTCGTTGATTTAATTCAACAATAAAATTGAACTTGTGCAGGCCTGGTCCATACAAGTGGTGGCTATCTGGCTTATGTTGCCTGGACCCACGAGATGGTGTTCAACTGGACGAAGGGCGATGTGTTCGCATGTGTAGCCGACATAGGCTGGATAACAGGGCACAGCTACCTGGCCTACGGGGCTCTAGCTAATGGAATCACCACTGTACTATTCGAGAGCACGCCCTTGTACCCAGACCCAGGCAGGTAGGCAGGCTGCTTTATTTTTTTTCTGTTTCTCTGAAAATTACAGATGATGTACCAAAAGCTGGTATATCTGCCAAAATCTAGCCCTATTCTTTTTTAAGCTCGAGGATTAAACGTCCAATGAAAAATCTGTCCGGAAAGATGATCCCCCAGGACTTAATCATCAATAGAACAAAACCACATAAGTTTGGATCCCTATTTTTAATTTCAATGTCCCCGGATTAGTATTTGGCTAAAAACTATTTGAAAAACAAATCGAAAGGTTGAAAGCTAAATTAAAGTTGAAATTTATGAAAAGAAAAAATATGAAGGCATAGTTTAATGACAAATAAACATGGTAACTTTCAGATATTTCACCTCCTTGTAGTTTGCGGCTGACCAGACTAAGTGTTTTGTACCAGCCCGATTTCATAATCTTTCCCCACACGCAGTATCACTAAAAATCAATGAGCTAACTGGTATAATAACACGAAATTTTTCAACGGCAATCCTGGCTCTGGCCAGTATGTGATTCCTGAAACAAAAGCTTGGTAACAGACATATCCTTGTCGAAACGTGACATCTTTTTTGTTTATTCGTCCCGACCATTGAAAATGGGAAAGGACTTTCTGGTATGTCTTAGTTTTTTTTTTTCATTTTCCTTGCAAAAGCAGGTCACACAAATAATCATCGAAATGATTTTGATGATATACAGTGCTGATTTAAATTAACCGGACAAAACGCGTTAAACTTGAAATTTAAAATGCATTTTTCTCAAATTGGGTTGAGTTTAGGTGGAAACTTAAGAAGACAAAACTTTGCCTAAAATTAAAGCAGAATTAATATGAAGTAATTTGTTTTGCGAAATTCAGGCCAAAAATTTTACCCCAAAAATGGGTCATTTTGGCTTTTCTTAGTTAATCAAAAATTACGCCAAAAATGCCCAGTCGATCAAAGAGGTATTTATATCGAAGTGAGCCCCTTACGTAGTCCAACAAACTTTAAGAAGGGTATATTCTCCAAAACATTGTATAAGTTAATTTATTTTTGTTTGATAGACAAAAAGGTCGTTTTTACTATATAATTACCAACTTTTTATTCAAAAACAATTTTTAAACGGTTTGCAAATTTTTTTTGGAGAAAAAACCCTTGTTAAAGTTTGTTGGACTACGTAAGGGGCTCACTTTGATATGAATATCTCTTTGATCGACTGGGTATTTTTAGCGTAATTTTTGATTAACTAAGAAAAGCCAAAGCCAAAATGACCATTTTTTGGGGTAAAATTTTTGGCCTGAATTTCGCAAAACACATTACACCATATTAATTCTGCTTAAATTTTAGGCAAGTTTTGTCTTTATAAGTTTCCACCTAAACTCAACCCAATTTGAGAAAAATGCATATTAAATTTCAAGTTTAACGCGTTTTGTCCGGTTAATTTAAATCAGCACTGTATATTAAAAGCCTTTCAGTCGTGGTTTTAACGATATACAAAAACAAACGGTTTCTTAATTTAGAGAAAAACAGGTTTGAATTTTTTAGTCTAATTTTGAGCGAATAAAGCAAGCAAACAATCTTATAATAGGCTGCTTATAATTTAAGTTAAGCCGCGAAAAGATTATTTTCACCTAGTTAAGTTAGTGTCCGATACTTCTTTATGCGCAATAGAGGGAATAAAATTGAAGAAAAGAATAGTAGTTTCAGTCGTTCGTTTAGATCCTCATCACACCACAAACAAAAAAGACGTACTTTGGTTGTCGGAACTTGTGCTCGGAAGTACTTTCAGACGTTTGTTTAGATCCTCACCACAAACAAAAAAGGCGTACTTCGGTTGTCGGAACTTGTGCTCGGAAGTACTTTCAGATGTTTGTTTAGATCCTCACCACAAACAAAAAAGGCGTACTTTGGTTGTCGGAACTTGTGCTCGGAAGTACTTTCAGACGTTTGTTTAGATCCTCACCACAAACAAAAAGGCGTACTTTGGTTGTCGGAACTTGTGCTTGGAAGTTTCTATGCTACTATCTGTGCTACCTGACCACATCCATTTAAAGTTTTTTCCTGTCAAAATAGTGTCATTTTTTGAACGTAGCATGAGAAAGCTATACAAACGTGTAGAACGTTCGTAAATTGGATAATCGATAACATTGGTCGTCGAAAGAAAGAATAAAGAGCCAAAAAAGGAAGAAAAATATGCTAAATCTTTCAAAAAAGCTTGATATTTTTGGAAAAATAGTTTTGGTTTTTTCAAAACTTTTCATTGCCAAGAAAACGCTAATTGAAGCTTCGGAAACTATTTTTCCCGGAGTAGAACTAAGTTTCTGACCACTGAAATGAACATTTTTAGTTTTATTTGAGCGAGGAGGTCTTATACGTCTTACCCGAATAAAATTTGACTAAACTCAAAAGTTGCATCCGGTTTTTCTCGATACTGGCACAACTCATTGAAATTTTTTCTTATTGTTGTGCGAATCACAAATGAAAATACTTTAATATGATATATCACCTTTAATATGAAATTTTTGTAGTATCTGCTTTAGCGTGGGAAAAAATCTAAACACAATTGAAGTCAAAATTCCTCCCCGTTTTTTCAATGGAAAGAACAAAGAGGGTAGTAGTCAGTAAATTACTCGAAAACGAACAGGTCAGATCAGTGAACCAAAACTGCATTATTCAATTAGATAATCGCATATATTGAAGCATGAGATCTGTAAAATATGACAAAATTTCCCTCAATAAAAATTCGAAATGAAAACGAATGAGGACTACTACCGCCGTGAGTCCCTTTTTTAAAACAATTATGTTCTAGCACAGAAAAAAATCACAATCGTACAAAACTTTCAGTCCGTAATTGATGCATTTTTTACGGACGTAGATTCACTGATCTGGTAATTTTTTGGTGGCTTAGTTTTGTGAACGCACCCCGAAAACAGAAATCAATGAGTTCAATAATAAGAATCAATAGAGCACTTCGACTAAAAAAGAAAGGAATTTTTCCGATGGAGATAGTGTCATTTGGTCGTTTTGTCATCCGGCTCTAGAGCTTCGTAGAAAAATATCGATTATAATGAATTATATCGGCAAAACACCCAACACAAATAATCGACTTTGGTGACCCATTTAACCATTAAAATGGATTTTTAGAGGATTTTAATCGAACTTTTTCAAAAATCCATTAAAATTAATTATAACTCATTTTTTTTTATAAAAGGGAGCTTAAAATGGGATGTGAGACAAGAGAGATTGAAGGACGTGAATTTTCTTAGCCTAAGTAAGTCTCATTTTACATTTTTTCATTTTCAATAGTTTTAAAATTCCAATTAAAATGGATTATATTGATTTGTCAGAAAAAAAAGCAGATTATAATCCATGTTGAATCAATTATAATCGACTGTTTTTAAGTTTTGTTGCGACTGACCATGAAAACATAATATAATCTATTATTATCCATGAAACTTCAGTGCGGGATGGGATATTTCAACATGATGGAAATATCTTGATGTTTTAGTCCTAGGCCCAATTTTTTGTAATGTGTTTAAGAGTAATGAACGTAGTGAAGACTGTTTAAAGGTCTTGGTGATTTTTTTTCTAGAAAAAGTCTTTAAAATGCTCTAACAACTACAGATGTGCTTTCATACATATTAATGCATTTTTAAATGCACTTAGCTATATAATAATCTACTGAAAGTTACGTAAATAGCACTCTCCAAATACGAATGTGGAAATGACGCAAAAAAATGTGAACAATTTCTTGTTTCGAAAATGGAATTTAATTTTTAGATTTCCAGCGGAATAAAAACTTAACCTTTTGATAATGTTTTCTCATGTTGGGTTTATATAATGAAAACAGCCAGCGCCAATCATAAATTGTTCTAGAAATGCAAAGAGCTTAAATGGCATCTACTTTTTTCTTCGAAATTCGAAAGTTGCGTTTTTTTTACTACTCAAGTCCTTTTTGAGCCTAAAACTGTCATTAACCAGATGGTGGTGCATGATTTGGACATGTTGTAGCAGAACTGAAGCTCCTTCTCACATATTGTATTTTGCCGTGATAGGGGATCGAATACACTAACTACATTTCTTCTGAATGCTTTGACCGTTATGAACAGTGACTCTATGAATGCCTGTAAAATACGGGGAATATTATTAAGGTGTGGGAAGTAATAATAAACAGAATAAAAGCAAAAGGGCTAACAGCTTTGGTCAGCTTCCCTGTGATTCGAAAGAACGAAATGATTATTATTGCACCAATCTAAGTATGAATTAAACAAAAACTTATCATAGACAAGTGACGAAGTCTTAGAATACGCAGCAACCGAGTAAGATTTGAAGATTTGAATTCAACTGATAAACTAGCAGCATTGAACAGAAGTCAAATATTAGTTTGTCAAATGGATGCTAAAAGCTTTTGTTAAGAAAAGCTTTTCTCGACTGACCGTCTGATACTAAGTACAAAAAGTTGGTAACAAAAATGTTGCAGGTACTGGGAGATGGTTGAGCGTCTTGGGGTGAACCAGTTGTATGCAGCCCCCACTGCCATCAGGAGTTTGTTGAAGAAGGGCGACTCCTACCCCCATCAGTACGACCTCTCCTCCCTCCGCACTCTGGGATCGGTGGGGGAACCGATCAACACTGAGGCGTGGCTCTGGTACAACGAACACGTCGGACACAATAGGCTAGTAACGTAAAGTTATACTTATCATAAACGTCTTTTTTGCTTCCTTTTGACGATGCAACGATTAAATGCACAACTTAATTCTTAATTCACAACAGAAGTTTCGCAAAGATAGCAAAAATTTTGTGCAACTTACTCCAAGTGATGATAATTTGAAAATAATTCTAAGACAATCATATGCCATCCTGACCAACAAAAAACACAGCAAGAAAAAGTAGCTGGTTGCTTACAAGTAGCATACAAAGTTCCCATCATAATTATAATTTCAAGTAGCACACAAAGTTCCCATCATAATTATAATTTCGAACAAATCAAAAAGAAAATACTTTTGTTTTCAAAGAAAAGCTTTTAAACGTTTGTGCATCGGTTGTGGATGGATGATAGGAAGATGGGTGGGGTCTTCTCGTTTCTACAAAAGCGAAAAAAAATTATTCCCTTTATCTTCCTTATTGTGAAAACTTTCTATAAGTTATCTTCATAGCTTGGAAAGGTACTTTTTTCTGGACAAAGGCGGTTTTTAAGGAAATGTTTCCTATTTCTCCAATCAACACTATAAAAGGGCCTAAATATGACATATGTCATTCGACTACGTTGCTCAATCCATACATATCACTCGAGGTTGCTGTATTTATCTTTATGATACCAATCAGGGGCGGATCTAGGATTTTCTCGAGGGGGGGGGGGCGGATTTCCGAAAAAAATTTCCTTTTTTTAGGTCGAACATATTAATTTTTCGAGCTCTGCCAAAGCACTGTTTTGTCCCTATTTTTGCGAAATTTTCTGCCCCGCAGGCAAAATTTTGAAAAAGGCATTTTTAGGCATTTTTTGAAAAATTTGACCAAAAAAACGCGTTTTTTTTGGCGCGCGCTCTCCCCTCAAAATTAGTATATATTGGTTCCAAGGGCGCCTTTAGAAAATTTTTAGGGTCCATCACCAAAAATGAATACTGGAAAATAGTACAAAGGGGAGTCTGTTGAAAAAAATTTGTTTCTTCCTCAAGTATATTCGTTTCAGAACAAGGCCTAAAGCGGCCTTCATCTATTGATACTACAAAATTTCTTCCCGTTAGTTTTTTAGAATATTTAAAAATTCCAAAAAGAGTACAATTTCGGAAAACTAGCGCAAGCTGCTGTATGTTCTGTGTTTTGGCATGGAGGTCATCGACTGATGTCTCGATGGAATCTAAACTTTGTGGTGTTTACGAACTAGATTCCGTATGGTTCTGCCAGACGTCTATTGCATTTGTTCAGTCGCTTAATGGTAACATATCGATACCTCCGTCCAGTCAATCGCACAATTGCCTTTTTTATGCCGCAGTTGATGTACTTACAAATTATATGTTCTATCTCTTCGACAACTTCAAGTTCCGATGATCGGTTGTTCTTTCTGTCAAATAAGTTATTCGTCCCACCCATCATCACAAGTTTTTGACTTTAAATGACAAAGTTTGCTGAACCATTTTTTTACAGCACATTGTCGCAACTGTTCCGCCTGGACATGGCATTTTTAACGAATCAGGTAAGAAAACACCCTTCACTAACAACGAGCCCAAAATATATTGACCTTTTTGAACTGTGTTCGAGTTGTTGTAATTGATGAAGTCTAACCTTCTTTGTGAGAAACTCATGTTGAAGACGCGAACGCCTGTAGGGTCAAAATTTATTTTGTTAGTTTCGTTTTGAGAGAACATATTACTGAAAATATTTACGAACAATAGTGAGTCTGCTTAAAAATATACGTTTCATGAAGCTTTTTGAGAATCTCTTTTGATAATTTAGTTTTGAATTTTATTGGTAGACTGTTCCACAATTACGTTCCAGAAAAAGCGAGCGGACCTTTACCAAATATTGTTGAAACTTTTAGAATGATCAGTCTAGTTGCTGAGTTTCTATCGCTTTTACAATCTCTGATATTATCTGGCATAGAAAAAAACTCATTAGTTGAAAAATAGGTTATAGTAATCATGTTAAAATTAGTAAGCTTAGTGTTGCGCAGCCATTGTAGATCATGCGAAAATGGCGACATGCTATGAAATTTTGATGTCTTGAAGACGTATCTGCATGCCGCATTCTGAACTCTTTTTAAATTGAATCGATATTGCGGTAACTCAGACCACAAACTGTTGCAGTAATTGGGCCTAGAGAAATTGAGCACTTCGACCAGAAGGTGTTTGTAGGAGAAACTCAATTAGTTTCGGATTGAATATAGCTTTCTCAGCTGAAAGTAACAGCTTCTGCACACCAGTTGAATTTATTTCTCCATTTTCATGTTTAGGTCAACTCCTATTCCCAGCGATTTAAAAGAAATCAAAATGGCAATTCATGATGACCGTTTTCTAGTTTCATGTGTTTTTTTTCGTAGATTTTGCATAATGATAATTTCTGTCTTCCCTTTTTGTGTTTTTTTTTCAATCTCATGTTTTCGAACCAATCCACATTTTTCATCTAAATTCATTTGAATCTTGTAAAAACTTCCCTTATCTGGGGATAAACTGCAGGATAGCATGGTGTCTTCTGCATAGATTTGATAGTCCAAACAAGTTTTCAAAATTACAGTTCTTATAGGCGACAGATGAAGTGTGAAGAGCAACGGTCCTAGCAAAGATCTTTGTGGTACTCCAGTTTTAATGATTCAAGGTTTCAATATAGCTTCATTTATCTTGACACGTTGTATTCTACTACTGAGGTATGATGAGTAAGAATAGCTCATGCTCGATGATATCAAATGCTGATAGAAGGTCTAGGGCGATAACAGCTATTTTTTTCCTTTACCCAGCTCAAGTAATATCTCATTAGATGTGTATTCAGTAGGGCTGTCTCTGTCGAGAAAATTTTTTTATAAGCTGATGGTTTGGGATCAAGTAAATTTTTCACACTGAGATTTCCTGTTAATTGCACAAAAATTACTCTTCTGAACACTATTGAGAAAAAACACGTAGAATTGAAATAGGTCTGTATGATTTTAAATTCACTGTATCCAAAGTAACTTTCTTTTGTGGCGGTTTCACCGAGACTTCTTCAAATGCTTGAGAAAAAATGCTAGTTTTTATGCATTCGTTTAAAAAGTTGAAGGAAATTAATCCAGGTGTTTTTGATTCTTTTTAGGTCAGAAGTTTTCATTGGGTCTGACGGCGATGCCGCATTTCAGACAACTCAACTGCTTCGCGTATCGTTCTTTTATCAACTTGTTCAAATGATAACATCTCTTCAGCAACAGTGTTTGTTCCAATTTTGAAATTAGGCGTTAGTGATTCGAACATTTATAAGGTTTTCAATTTTCGTTGTGAAGCAATCATTCAATTTCTCGGAAAGGTCTTTCATTTCTTTCTAATTTAGGAAAAACTGTTTCGTCTTCGTATCCTAGCAGGTCTTCAAAACTTTGATTTTTCAATCGCTGTAGTGTTTAATTTTCTGTCGAGTGCTGTTTCTTCTTTTTGTTAGTATTTTCCATTCGTTCTCATTATCATTATTCTGAGGTTTTGAGCAATGGCTTTAAGTTCCTGCTTTTCCGTTTAGCGCTCTGAAATTCAGGATCAAAAAACTTAAACGCTTTTATGTGCTTCGTCATCGTCTTTGAAGATGTGATATTCTGTCATTTAAAAGTAAGTTTAAAAAAACTTCGTCTTCGAACTGTTTCCGGCACACCGTCGAAATGTTGTTTACCATGGACTTTTGTCTAGGTATAGGAAAGACTCCACTGCCCAGAGAATGGACACTGAAACTGACGTCAATTACTTCTATTTCAGATAACATTTTGCTGTTTGAGATTATAAAGTCAAGCGTATTGCGGTAAAACCAAGCGATAATATCTCGACTCTTGTTGCCGAGATTGAACACGGGTTTGTTAGAAAATTAGGCGTTTTCTGTTTGTGCAACAGTTTTAGATCTTTTTGCTTTTCTGTTGATTTCCTTTGTCAAGATCTTTACTTGATCTGGCTCTGTTGTCGAGTTGGCCTCGTAGACCGGCTAAGAGGCGCATTTTTCTTACACGCAGGGTTCGCAGGAACATGACATGATGCAGCTAATGAGCTAATTGATTCGGATGCAACCGATATGAACAACTTTGCCGCTTATAAAACATGTTAATGTTTCCTGGGGCATCTACGGAGTCGGATCTCAGGCTACGGCAAGGCCTTTCAGCCCAGTTGCGCACACCATCATTTGACATAAGTTTATGCTTTCGATGGTTTTATCAGACCAACACAACTTGTCTAGCGGAATTCAACCCTCAACCGTGTCAAATACTGATGATTTAACAAACATAAAATTTAGTTGGTTGTATTTTGGCTTAAATTATATTACTTTTCGCCCCTCAACCAGTTCACATGATAGACGCAAAAATTGGTTCTCTTCGACCACCAATAAGGTCAACAGTCTTTGATCTTGTTTGCAGTCTTTCCTTTTGTCGGATCTCCTGAGTTTTTCTCAGAATCTGTTGGCTAACCGACTCACTACACTATTATCTAAATCACTTTTTCAATAAGTTCATCAAAACAATTAGGATTAAGATATGAAAAATTTGGCAAACCTTTCAAAACTTCAATTCGCTTGTTGATAATATTTTTGTATGTTGATAATAAAACTTTGAATTATTTAACTATAAATCACTTGTCGATAAAAAAAACGAGATAAAGGACCTTATTTTTAAATATTCTGCAGTATTTGTTGCAAAAAGGCCCTAGATGACACTAGCTGGCTGAATAAATGAAATGTTTCTTCAGATGCACAGTAGTGGACACATGGTGGCAGACAGAAACAGGCGGCATCATGATCTCCCCCAGACCCAGTGCCCCGGAGGCAGAGATCATACCCACCATGGCCATGCGACCCCTGCCAGGGGTGGAAGTAGTTTTGATTGACCCCCTGACGAAGGAGGAGTTGCCCAAGGGTGTGGCCACTGACGGGGACATGTGCATTACGAGACCATGGCCCAGTATGGCAAGGTAGAATCATGAAAAAATTTGATACATGACAACAAAAGCTTTCTATGAGGTACTCAAAACCAATCGGAACTTAAATTAACACAATACACTATAGTTTTTCCTTCTTCTTGAATGGTCGGAACCAGTAGCGGTACAAGAGGGGGCATCTGACCTTGCTCCCCCTCTTCAGGGACTTGACCCCCTCGCCACATAAAGTATTACTTTTTTAGTTCTATATCTCATGGCACAAAAAATTGTTAAAAATTCAACCATTTGGGATAATCCCAGATACGCGCTTTGTTCAAAAAGAAAACAACAAGTTAACTTTTTTGAAGAGTCATTTTATAACCCTGAAATGTGAAAGGTTGCAACAAAATGGGATAGCCACCTAATCGGAGTAAACAAATCTAACTTTATATAAATCAGATGAGGAATGCTAGAGATGATTTGACCCGGGCATGCAAAAATCCGGACCCTGGGGCTAAGTGATAATGGTTTCCGGAACACGGTATTGGAACTCGGTATCTAGCGGTGGGAATGGGATCAATGTTTTGTATGTTGTAGACCTAGTTGAGGGGAGCTTAAGTATAGAATGCCAAACCCGCTGGACCCCTACTTCCGGCAATATACCCTAAGTTATAGTCCCTACCCCGACTTCGGAAGTCACTTATCGGTTTCCAGTAAACACGAGAGTTAAAAGTCTGGGATATGATGGGTAATGACAAGTTAAATCACGGTTTTTAATTTGAGGCAAAACCGACGGCTAGTTATTAGCATGCGGAAAAAAAACACTTTTTTTTAAAACCAGAATTGGCTAAAACCAGAAACCAGCAAAAATAAAAGAGGGCATTTTGATTTTATAGCGGCACTATACACAAAACATCTACCCAGAAAAAATGACTCCCAGTGAATGAAACGTTTCCGGCGCAATATTCCGCGTTTGATAGCCCAATCTCGGGAAAAATGATTATGGATCCTTAAAATTCGATAACCCGTGAAGTATTAATTGGATATTGGTGAAACGTGTTGAATAGGATTTCCATGAAACCCCAAATCTGTCAGGGGTTTCAATTTTGACCCCTGGGTGGCTTTAAGTTGACCTTTGGATGTTATACATGGAAACCAATTAACACCGGAAAGTGACCTGTCCCTTATAAATAACTTTTGAAAATCACTGTGATTGTTTTGTGGGAACAAGGGTGGGCGAAAGGTACCTGTAATGTGTACATCAGAAGTCTTGGGGAGAAAAAAATTTCTTGTTCTTCTTCTATAAGGTTGGAGTAATGGAAGAAATTAAAATGGACTTGGGCAACCTTGGGTTCAACTTAGCTTGGCGAATGCGCTATTACTAGAAATACGACGAGAATGTAGAAAAGTAGTCGCAGAACGCTTAGATTATGTATACGAAGGGAACGGGGATTCAGGAACCCAAAGTAAACGAAGGGACAGTTTTTCTTTAAGCTTGATGTGAGTGAAACGCTGTGATTGAAGAGTAAGTAAGTTGGGTTTTTCGGCGCGTAAACTTTGACTTTGCCCAGGATGTACTTCGAGGCCCTAGTAAACGGGAACGTTTACGGGATTATTCAACTAATGACTTTGGGAGCTCACCCTGATTAGGAGTTGGGGGGTACCGGAGAGCCTCCAAGAGGTAGAACAAATAAACTGAAAGAGCGAACGATGGGTTGTCGAAAATAGTTAGAAGACAGTTTTTGCAGAGACAATAGATGGTTGATTCTCAAAGTTAATGAGAATGATTGAGCAAGTAAGCGAGAATAGTCGGTCCGTGGAAGACGCTATTGCTTGAAGCGAAGCCAATTATGCCTCACAGTAGTTTTATTGATTTGAACCCGAGTTTAGTACTGAATGGGATCAGTTGGTTTGCGAGTTGCGCTTTTGGAATTGGCAATTTTGGAATTGAATCGAGCGAGGATTGGCGAGCAAGTTAACGAGGTGGTGTCCGAACAGAGCGAAACGCGGGCTTCGCATTAGAAGTAGTTTAGTAGTAGTTAGCTCATTGAGAGCCTTGTAAATAACTTTTTATTTCATCGGCTTTTGAAGAAGAGTTTAATTATTGTGTCCCGATTTGCTCAAATAGCTAGAAACGCAGGAGAGCTAAAAAGAGAACAACTCAAGGGTGAAATCGCTCAATTCTTCGATCGGCTGATTTAGTCTGACCACCAACGTAACCCTTTCAGGATTGCGGATAATATCATGTCTTATTGCCCTCCCCTTTAACACGGTATAAAGGGGAGAAATTCTACGGCCGTTGAGTAAATAAAAACGTGCTTAGAGGAGACGTCTCCTGCAACTTCTACAAAATGAAATTAAATATCTAATTTCATTGAGGTCGCTTAATTTTTGCCTTCAACTGAAAAAATTACCAGATGATACTGTTTTGATATTACAGAGCACTTATTCAGCGCACTTCTGAAAGTAACAGTGTTATCTTCTAAAAGTAGATCTAATTTGAAAACTTTCAAAAATTTTGAAACTGAATTCGTGACGTAAAATGGGCTAGCATTTGCATTTGCATCCAAAAAAAAATCTTATTTCTCGCTCAAAAGCAGTGAAAGCATTCAAATAATCCATTCTCAGGACAATCTGGAAAGACCACAATCGATACGTGGACACTTATTTGACGAAGGAGCACGGCTACTACCTGACAGGAGACGAGGCCCACCAGACGGAGGAGAACTACTACCGCATCACAGGCAGGATGGATGACGTCATCAACATCAGTGGACACCGACTGGGCACCTCGGAGGTGGAAGACGCCATTGACCAGCATCCCCAAGTGTCAGAATCAGGTAAGACAGGGGAGAGTTGTGAGAGTTATTGAGTTATTCATTATGACCTTGACCTCCAAATGAGATTAAAACTTTCGAAATAGTGCGAGAAAGATGAAACTAAGTCATTATGTCAATAATTACGTTTGAGACAAGTTTATTAAACTGAATATTTGAATGAGAAGGATCAACAAAATGGGGGGGGGGCTGGAGGGAGTTTGGAGAGAGCTTTCGCTGATTCGCTGAGTTTTTGCTTGGTTCTCATATATTTCCCATTAGTCTTAACCTAAAAAGATATTTCATTGGACGGAGGATTGGAACTGAATGTTTTGCGACGAGGTGTGATCCCTATATGATTGAGTAAAAAACTGGTATCATTTCTTTTATGTTCTTCTAGGTGAAGTTACAATATGCTTTACTGATATATATTAAATGTGCGATCACTTTGGTTGCGGCAATAAATTCAAACAAAAAAGCTGCCTTTCTCTGATTTCCGTATTTGATGGGAACATGAATCTAAATCTTGCTTGTGAGTTTCAGCCGTCGTCAGTATTCCCCACTCTATCAAAGGAGAAGCGATTGTGGCTTTTGTCACTCTTAAAGACAACTGCTCAATAGAAGAAACTCAGTTAGAAACAGGTAACAAAACACAAATTATTCAATTGCAGAAACTCGTCTAAATTTGGACCAATTTTATGTTTTTCTTTGTGCCATTTTTTGCCGAGGAATTATCGGTGCTAAGTTTGTATAATCAATTTTCCATGCAAAATAACATCATGTGCGGTTTTTAGAGAAAACTCTAAACTTACTTGCTGTTTAATCTATCTATGCCGTTTTTAAGGCCCCTAATTTCATTTACGTGCTTCTGAAATTCCAGATTATAATCTTATTTCTGCTGTTCGGTAGAGATCAATGCAGTGATCAAGAAAGAGATTGCCTCATTTGCACAGCCAGAGAATATACACTTTGTATCTAACCTTCCCCGCACCCGATCAGGGAAGATCATGAGGCGTATCCTGAAGAAGGTCATCACAACCGGGGCCTCAGAGGACTTGGGAGACATCTCCACACTGGCAGATCCCTCCGCTGTACAAACTGTGGTGGACACGGTCAACAAAAAGAAGAAAAATGATCTACACAAATAATTATTGACGTTGATATTTATTGTTGCAAGCTGCTCTTTTTTCTGTAACCTGTTCCTACGACAAAAAAACTTCCTTTTCATAAATACAAGTGAATCATACGTCAAATTTTATATGCTCACAAAGGTCTTTTTATATACATATTTGAGTTCGAAAAGTGTAGAATTTAATAACCCGGATCCAAGCGTTGGACTAAGTTTATAGGAAGTCGGCCGAAAACGTGGAAAATCCGTGTAAAAACGATTCTTCCATCGAACACAGTCAACACATCGTTGAAATATGTTTGAACACGCAGACGAGCACAAAATTGAAACATAATCGATAAAAAATTGGATGCGTAATCGACCACAAAGCCAAGCAAATGTTCAAAACGCATTAGGCATTAGCCGAATCCTGGTCAAACACAGAGGGATCTAAGCGTCGAAAACAAAGGACGTAAATTCAGCATTATTAATGTTCAAGGGACTATCGAGCGCGAAAAGATCCACGTTTAAGATCCACTCTTCTCAGCTTGACAAGGATATTCTAGCACATCAAACAATTTGACTGTGAAACTTCCCAAAAAATTTTTCAAGTCCAAATTTCAGACAAGAGTAATTCGGTTGAACTTCATGGAAGGCAGTACCTGCCTGTTTTTTTGTCTAGCTTTTCAAGACTTTTTAAAAAAATTATTTCTGAGACAGGCTAATTACAAACAACGAAGTTTTTTGTCAAGCAGTCGAAATTTCATTTGCTTCAAGTTGCCTTAAAAACTTTGTTTTGTATCGAGCGGAATCACGCTATATAATAACTTTTCAGAGTTTCATCGATTTCTCTGAAAGATTTAATTAAGCAACGCCATCAAGTATTTCAAACTTCAAATTTTTTCTTTGATTTTCTTTGACACCATTTTTCTTCTTTCCATAGCAAACGCATCCACCGATTAAACTCCGAAAAGACGACGCTTTTCATTTTTTGCTATGAGATTACTTGAAATATTTCAAAGTTTTATTGCTCAGTTGTTTGCTTAGAGAAGTGTTAACTAACAAAATGATTGATGCTATAAAAAAACTTGGGCTAAAACGAAGTTTAATTGCTTGATGAGGTTGGCTAAAAAGATAAACAGTGGTGAGCCCGTCGAAGCTATGAACCATCATTTGATGAATTCGCTTAGAAAAAATGAGTTTTTACGAGAAGCTTCATGCTTTACAAAACATGAAAGGTTTCGAAAATCTATCGCGCAATCAACTTGCTTTCGAAACCGTAATTTGCTATTCGATTAGTTTCATCATGAATTTTTAATATTCTCAATTATTCATGCCAAGAAATAACTTAAAGTATTTCAAAAGCTCATAGTTGAAATAGCTTGCTTAAACGGCTCCAATTTTTGCAAAACGGTATATGCAATAAATATGCTTGAAAATTTTTAAAACCGATTTGGGCTGTGATTAACATGAAATGTTTCAAAGTTTTATTGCTAAACTCGCACGTTGTTTGATAAGCTGGATTGAGAGTTCTTTGCTTTTTTACAAGCGGATTTGCTGTCTGAAGTAACTTAAGAAATTTAGAAGTTTCATTGCTCATTGCGCCTGCTCGAAAAAATAGTTTGAGACGATCTATGTATCATTCTTATAAAAGTTCCATCCTATTGGTAATCAATTTATGCTCTGTAATATCTTGAACCATTTCAAAGTATCATCAGTTAAGGAGGTTGCTGAGAAAAGCTTTTTTTTGCCAACTAATTCATGCTAACCAAATCATAGCCTTTTGATGCTGTCGATTAAATTAGTACAGGTAATCACCAGTTTTTCGTGCACTGCACTAACAAAATTGAAGACAAAAAAATATTTGCACCCGATTACTTTCAAAGTACAGATTATGGCGGATTATTCAAAAATTTTAAAATCGTTTTTTTTTGGTTCTTTTTAAAAAGCTTTGAATGAAGTACAAATCCTATTATGACAAAATTAGTAATCGTCACGTTGTATTTAAGCCACAATAATTAACTTTTTTCAAAATTTTTGAGAATCAAAGAACGTAGCTCAAGCTTTTATACAGGTGTTGATATTTATTTAGTTTTTTTGTTAAAAGTTGAAAGTGGAATTTAATTTCCAGATTTCCCAGCGAAATTAAAAGGTATGTTTTGATCCAGTTTTCTCAATTTGAGTTATTTTTAACAAAAAAAGTGTCAATACAAGTTCTTCTAGAAACTAAAAAAGCCTAACAGAAAAAAAGAAAGTTGAGATTTTTCAAAAATCGAGTCAGTTTTTTTCTGTTTACTTGCATTTATTGACTTTTTACAACTGTCTCCTGGCTGTTTTAAAATTCAAATTACTAAGTTGACCATGATATGTGGAAATTGAAATGACACTGATATGAATCGATGAAAAAAGGGTAAGACTATTGTAAAGGTTTTGATAATTTAAAAAAAAATTTTTTGCAAGAAAAAGTCCAAAATTTGATGAAACTCAAACGTAATTTTTGCGGTTACACATTTGATTTCTTTTGAACTTCAGTGCAATGTTCATTTTTTCAATAATCATAAAGCAAACGTGTAAAATTCACGAAACACGTGAACGAGCTTCAATTTCTAGGCTGGATTTTTAATTACAGATTTCCCACGGAGAAAAATTAACTCAATGATCCTTTGCTCAAAGTGATTGTCTTATACTCAGAGGTAGAAATTTTAGCAAAAAGTTAAGTCATTTTTGTTTTCTGTTTTTTTTTTTGCGTGCATTGACTGGTTATGTTAAAAATATCTTCAAAACAGTTCCAATATCCGCCGCGGATCATGAATGACTACATGAGATGTTCTAGCCTTTGCTTTTCCTGAAATGTACAATTTCACTGCAGCTTACAACACGTTGAGATAAAATCGGTAAATTAAAACTCACCTTGTTACAAGGAAATTTGTTGGATTTCTTTAACTATCCCAACTATGGTACTGGTAGCAAATCCACCTAAAATGAAATATTGAAATAATTGAACGGTTAAGCATTTGAGAATTTTCAATCTAGTTACAAATCTTTTTGCAAAGGTGTAAAGTAGTTGAAGAGATCCGATTTGTTTCTATTTGAAGAACTGTACGAACCTAGCGAGCGCCATTTTGGTTTTAAGCATTGAAGCCTGAGAAGTTTTGTGTCAACTTTGAGCAGTTGATCATTGTGTAATCGCTCACTGTCAAATTTGCAATTTTCAAGGTTTTTTTTGTTCCAAATTTCAAAGAAAGAGACGAAATATTTGTGCTCGAGGTGTTTTTTTTTCTCTAGACAATTTTCGACTTATTAACTGGCAGTTTTTGACGGAAATCAATTTTATCTTTTGAAATGCACTGTTGTCTTGAGTTTAAATTTAAAAAATTATGTCACCTGTGATCATTTTTTGCAAAGTTACTGAGGTTTCTATAATGCCAATTAGCGCGCGATATATTTCGTGCTAATAACGCGTAAGCGGAGACTTAATCCGTTTTGTAATCTTCCAAATTGGATTGAGGCATGCTCTTTGGTCTATTTGAAATTTTCCTATAAGCAAAATATTTTACTTTGTACTTTATATACCGTTTGGGGGATGATTTTCAAAAAAAGCATTCAAACTTTTTTATTTTAAATTACACCAAAGAAATTAAAACGCAGTCGGAACATTCAAGGTTTTTCCCTAATACGAGAAATCTTGTCTTTTATCAGTCCAATACCAAATTGTATCAGTCTTGAAAAAGTAAAACAAAATACTTAGGATTAGTTTTTTCTGAAAGCGTTTTGGTAAGACGAACAGTCTGGATGTTTTTTTTCTCAGAAAAATTCTTAGCACAGTTAAAATGAATGAAAGTGCATTAAACATAAGGCAAGGAAAGCGCAATGGGTTGTTTAGACTATTAATTTACTTGGAAAAAAAGGCTTTTAAGATCTACAGTAAATATCTAAACGCTTTAACAACAGCACATTTTGCAAATCTAGCAGGCTCAAACAATTTTGACTACGCGCTGCCGTGTAGATACATCTATACGACAGCAGGTTGTGAAAAAAGTTTGAGCCTGTTAGATTTGCAAAAATTGCTGTTGTTACAGCATTTAGATATTTACTATTACAAACATCTATTCTAGCAAAAATTGGGTAGGCGCAAATAGGGAATTCCATTGCATGCAGCGATTTGTTATGTGATGCTTGTTGAAATGTTAGATGTTGCGTCTTCGTGGCTATCGGTTTTTATTCCGACTTTCGAAAAAAAAACAGAATAACCACGCTTGGTGTTGTCATTTTTATTCAGTCATTTTCGGGCGATCGAAATAATAGTTTTTAGCTAAAAATTTATGCTCCATTGAAGATATTGACTCACTGAATCAAAATTTCAAAAATGTTATTTTCTTTGATTGATTTTTACAAAGTTTGGAAGTTTGAAAATTGCAAGTTTGGTCATAATCTGGACTAATTTATGCGCACTTTGTATATTTTGTCCAAAAGTATGAAAGCGTAACGCGAATTATTTATGCGTGGCGAATTATCATGCACAACACAATCGTTCGAAATTGAAGGCTAACTAACCGGTCGAATTATTTTCATAGGACTCAACTTTTCACACTTGATCTTTCTTGTTGTCCAAAAGGTATAAATTTAAAACATTTACTTTTGCCAAAAACTAATCGATATGGATTAAAAGGCAGTCGGATCATTCAGGGCTTTGCCCTGCTATGCGAGCAGTCTTGTTCCCGTGTTGCGGCAGAGCTCGAAATATTAGAAATGAATGTGACATAAACCCCTCCCCTCATCAGTAAAACCTTATCAATTTTACTTCATTTCGTCCAAACTTGTTATGCTTATATGTGTGAGAAAAATTGAAAATTTTGATTGCTAATTTGAACATTTTATTACTGCAACTTCACAACAGTATTTCGGTACATGTGAACAGTCTTCCTATCCTTAATAGACCAAATGAGAAATCTCCCCAAATAAATGCAAATTAAAGAAAGGGGGTAAGTATATTAAACTAGTCGAATTAAACTGTTAAATAGATCTCGCAAGTCTTGTATTTACTAAGTTCGATGCTGCTTGGCTGATAAATATTACTTTCAACCAATGTTTCTACCAATAGGAAAAAAATTTGTCGACACTAAGTTCGATGCTGCTTGGCTGATAAATATTACTTTCAACCA